CCTGCACCGGCAATCAAACGAACAACTTTCTTTTGGAGTTTAAATGCCTGGTCTGCTGTGGCAATATTACCCCAGAGAACTATGCCGTAAGTTAGATGAGAGTGAAAAAGAGAAAAATAGGTAATGTGCCCGCGGTAACCAGTCCTTTAAGTTTAATGATTATAAAAATATTAGAGGTCAGTCTTTTACACAAGATTTTAATATGCTATAATATTAATATACTCCCAAGAGCCTCACATTCTTGCCCTCCAGTAGATTATTATTAGTTGAGAAAACAAGACGTTGTGTCTTATATGTGTTTAGTTTAAGGTTATTGTTGGTGAACCAAAGTTCCGCCTTCCGCTCAACATTATCAACATTGTGCATAAGTTCATTGGAGTCATTTCCATAAGTCACAAACGAAATATCGTGCGCATAAAGAAAACAGAAAATGATACAAGTCATTGATGTAAATAGTGAACAGTAGCGGACCCAAGACGGAGCCCTGAGGCACGCCAGTGCTCACAACCGTCAACTCCGTTAAAGACCACTCACTGTCTTCTGTCAGTTAAATATGACGGAATAAGTTCCTGAAGGTGGCCACGGACACCATATCAGCCAAGCTTCTCCAGAAGGAGGTCATGAGAGACGCAGTCGAAAGCCTTAGTGAGGTCACATAGCGTGAGTGCAGCTTGCTCCCCCTTTTCCAGGCCCTCCACCACGTCTCCCACGACCCTGCGAACCGCCCGCACAGTGGAGCAGCCGGTCTTAAAATCAAATTGGGAATCACATTACTAACTCGTATAAAATACCGAGTGCAAAATTAAGTCTCCATCAGAAAATATCAAAGAGTACGTGAAATTGATTGATAGGAACATTTCAGCTTAAGCCGCTATATTCTGTTCGAGCAATTATTATTGAAACTTCCCTATAGAAGCAAATAGCGACCCAAAAATAAAACCTCAGTTTCGCCAGAGAAAGAATAAAATAGGGAGTGAAAGTTAGTGAGCGTCGCCTGGTTAACAAAAATGAATCACGGACATAATCCTTGTTTCCTTTTCCAGTAATTTACTTTTCTCTTATTCGGATGCAAATGTTTCCCAGCGCCGCTTTCCGAAGATACGAATTTTTCGTGGATGGAGGAGGAGGGGTTCGAAAAAAAAAACCGTGCTTAGGAAGTCGGTCTCAGGAGGGCAACTAATTTCACCCCAAAAAATTCGCGCATTAATATTCATTATATCAATGCTCCGGAATTTATGGTAATACTATGTATAGTTTATTGATGTTGGGATGGATTGAGATGGTATCCCACTTCTGAAATATTATTCCGGTGGAACGCGTAAACTTTTAAAAGCCGTAACGAAGAATTTAATAAACCCAAACGTCAATCCGCTGTTTTAACCGTTGCAACAACGTTCTAAAAATACGTGTTATTTGCATATTTTGATTTAAATAGAAAATCCTATTATGCACGTCGGTTTAAAAATAAATAAACGGGCAGCATTTTTATGAATATTTGTTCGGTAAACGTACAACACTCAAGTAAGTACTTTAAATAAATTACCACGGTTTATGCTTTTTTTTAAGAGGCAATTCCTTTTATCAGATAATTTATAGCGTTTGAACAAGCCAGTCATCGTAACTGTTTAACAACCAGTGCCGTAACACGGCTCAAATCGATTTCAACCCCTTCGGGTGCTAAAAAAGAGTTTTCTATAAAAAAATAACAAGTCCATTATGAATTAACAACTTATTTAAGACTCAGTAGGGAGCAGCCAAGTAAACACATCGGGCGCCTAACGAGAAGATAAACAATCAAACCAGTTTTGGTTAGTCCCGAAACATCAAATCCTGAGATAGAGTATCTATCAAGTACCAAGAAACAATACCACTCGAAGAACACGGAAAACACACATGGAAGGGTAAAAGATTGACATCTGGGATATCGGAGCATGTGCGGTCGAAGCAATACAATACAACGTAAAATGGTTACAGTGAATCTCACTGAAAGAATAACAGACTGAATGAAGACGTCTTCATGCACCTTGAATGTCCGGAAAATTACTTTAATTTCAAAACTGAAACATTGCCTATCCAAAGAAACAAATTCTCATTCAGCTGAATATAGTTCAACTAGGAATATTCAAATTTATTCTGCCCAAGAGCTGCGGATAATCATTCAGTAATTTGAAAACAACACATAAAACAAAAGCAACTCTTCTTTTCTCCAAGAACAACACAATTCACATATCAGACCTGTGACATATAATCATTGTTTTTAAGGGAAAATGTGAGCAATGTCTTCAAATGACTCCCAACAAGCGCTGCCAACTTTCAATATTGGGTGATGCGCTCTCACAATTACTTTTTAACGTAGCACTAGAATATGTGATATTAGGGCTTGATGATATAGATGGAGGTGTAGAAATGAGTGAGAAATTTAAGTTTTCAGCATACGCCTAGCCCATATTGAAATACAACAAAAGAATATACCACAATAGTAATGCTCTAGCTCTAGCAGCGCTGCTCCACCTAACCAATGATACAATATTTTAACGAAAACAAAAACAAAAAAAACTAATGGAAGTGGAAAAAAGCAAGGAGAATATTCAAATACGATTAAAAGAAACACAATAAAAGATGCTTTGCGTACCTAGCAATTTTATACACTTACGTAGACATATGGGATTTAACCACTGAAAATCTTTGCGTGTCCCCGTTATATGATCAAATTTTCACAATTTGAGTCTAATCTCAGTAGATAAGTAGTCCTTATACATGTAAAGTACTTTCAGTTTACCATAGGACTTTTGTAGTAAATAAGACAAGTGAGAATCAAAAACTAGCTTACCAACAAGAAAGACTCCAAAGTTTTTACATTTGTGGACAAAATCAAGCGAAGTACCATTTGAAGAAAGTTTCAGATTATTATACTCGATAATTTCCTTTTTTTTATTACCAAAAAGAACAACCTGCGTCTTGGAATAATTTAGTAAATTTAGGAGAGAAGTAAAAGTCCATGTCCACATTTAAACAATGGAAATTATTTTTTTTGAATTTTTTTATTGGTTATTTTGGCTTCCAGAAAAACTTGCTTTTCTCCCCATAACCATTCACCAGATTGTCAAAATTCTTTAACCAGCAGACGCGGAACATCCAGTGCTATAACATTTATGTCAGGCATTTTTTCGATTATATACAGGGTTTTTTTCAAATTATAGACAAAAATCTAAAAGATCCAGAAAATTGTTCTTTTCCAGAGTAAATTATCAACCGCGAATCAAAAATCGTAAAAAATATGGCCAATCAGTTCAAACAGTCACACACACACACGCTGCTCTAGATATTTTAAAAGAATTCATATACCTCGGGTTCAGTCAAGACGCGATGACGTCATTGATTATTACTTCGCACTGCATGGTTTCAGAAAAACCTTATTTTCTCGAAAACCATTTATTATTTTGGAAAAATCCTTCGTCCAGTGGGAAATCCAGGGCTATAACTCTCATATTCGGAAATTTTTCAATTATGTACAGGGTGTGTCAATTATGGGTAAAAATATCTAAAAGACCTTGAAAATTGCCGTTTCCGTTTGTAAATTAATAGCCGTTAATGATAAGCTATAAAACTTTTAAAAATTTGGTAAAAACAGTATCGTAAATTGTGAGGAGGGAGAGTTTCAGGTTTCGTCTATCATAGAGGGTGCGGGAGATACTTGTACAATTTTTTATATTTATCAAACTTTGTCGTGACTTTGAAATTCGGCGATACGTGAAAGACGCTTTATACAGGGTGTATGCGGAATATAATTATGGATTTTGCGAAAGTTCCATAGTGGTCCGCAGGAGCACGATAAAAAAACAACGCGTCCCTCAAGGCAACAAAAATCGAATTGGCTTCTTTTTGAAGTAAAAATCTAGTCCGCGCTACACACTATGAACTTGCCCCGCCCAGCGACGATTTTTCGAAAGCAATCTTGTTATAGTCTATCCCCTACTATTATGAGACTGAAATGATCGATGAAAGAAGAAAGAAAAAAAAAAAGAACTTTCTTTCTTTAGTTCTAGCGGAGTAAATGGCTCTACATTTTTTGAATGTTTATTTTTCAAATTGAAATAAAATCGATAACAATATGCAATTGTTCTTTGCAGTCGGGAAGTCGATGAGAATCGTTCGAAAGGAAATTCAGGTTTTACATGAGCAAAATTTGTAATTGTTCGTTGTTCAGGAATGTCACTAAGATCAATTGTTAACTTGTTACGGCGTGATAGAAATTCATGTCCTTGCCACTACAGCTTAGATTTAATAAGATCTGCAGCACTGCAAACTCTAGATACTAAATCGTGAAACCATTGATTAGAAATCGAGTATGATTGAATTGTGGAAACACGATTTGAAGCGAAGGTTTTCCAACGACTTCGACATCCATTCAACCAATGTAAAACTATTGTTCAATCACTCCAATAGAAACACTCTAGTTATTTCATATGAAGAAAATCGATAACCTTTCGCATTAAATTTACTAATAAAACTGCTGCGCAAAATTCCAATCTAGGCAATGTCGCTACCACTCTCAACTTTGGGCACCGCAAATTACTAGAAAATTTTGAATTATTGTTGCCCTTGCAACAAATATATACGCAGGCTCCGTAGGCCTTTTCAGAAGCATCCGCGAGTCGAAATTGTCAAACATTACCCATCTGGGAATGTTAATGAATTTAATGAAGTTAAATCATTGCAAAAGTGCACCCAAATTTGTTTTATGGAAGTTGGAACTTCTTGGTCCCATTCGAGTTGGTCTTGCGTAGAGTTTGAAGCAATATTTTTACCGATCTCTACTACTCCCAATTTAAAGTGATATTCCAACGATTTAGGAGACTAAACTAACGAACTCCAACGGGGGAAGAAATTAATACAACGCCCGGGGTTTTATTCAATTAAAATTAATTAATATATTGACCAAATCGATAAGATGTAAAGAAGTCCCTTTGCCGATGTTCAATTATGTCGTTTTGTTTCAGGTGATCAGCTACGATTCGAGCAGAGGGGGTGTAAGCGTTATAACTGAAAAGGGTGACGTGACAACAAGTTTCCTATTAATCCAAGATGCTGACATATCGGATTCGGGGAAATATTCGTGCAGTCCGTCCAATGCAGATGTCGCTAGTGTTAGGGTACATGTCCTGAACGGTAAGGCTGCCATCAGCGTTATTAATCTTTTAACGTTTATCGACATATCCTATTATTGTCTAGGTGGTCCCCACTTTGCGTCATATTAATCAATTCATCGCTTTCACAACTTGCACGAAAACATATTTTGCCTCGTTTTTTCGTACCCTGCTATACAGACAACACAATAAACAAAAATGTAGTGGCAAAAATTAAATGTGCAATGGAATATTAATGATAATAATAATAAAATGTCTTTATGACCAATGACAAAAATATACACAAAAAATTCACCTAAAGAAATTACATGCATAAGGACATCTGGGCTGTCAAGTCATGTACCGAGATCTAAATAAATTACAATCTTTTTTTTGGCAGAAAAAATGATCTGGATGGTTTGGAGGCTCAATTTACAGTCAACATTGGGAATACCACTCTACCTATAAAAAATAACGTAAAAAACCTGGGAGTCTTCTTCGATTCTGACTTGAGATTTGAGAGTCATGTCTCTGACTGCGTCCGGAGACCATATGCAAGGCTTAAACTGCTCTATGGTAGTCGTCACTATCTCTCAAGAAAAATAAAAATTAGACTGTGGGAGTCTCTTGTGCTTTCTGTGTTCAATTACGGTGATATTTATATGAAAACTGTATAACAGCTTTGCAAAAACAAAGAATACAGAAAGTGCAGAATTCATGTTTGCGACTAATATACTGTATTTGACGCCGAGAGAAATTATCACATAAACTAGTAGAGACTAAATGGTTGAACATGGACAGCAGAAGAAAACTACATAAAGCCGGTTTTGAGCACAAAGTTATATACCACAAAAGTCCTCAATATCTGTACAGATCTCATGTTCATAATTTAAATATTAGATTTAGAGATGCCGTAACTCCTCCTCTACATAAAACAACACTATTTGAGCGTGGTTTTTCCTTTAATATAGCTAAATTGTATAATAGTCTTCCGAATTACTTCAAAGCACTGATTTCAAGTAGATTTAAATTTTATGCTTTCAGATATTTTTTCGAAAAGTAAAGTTTAAAAAAGAAAAAAAGCACAATCTATCTTTAACAAACGTGAGCAAAATAGTTAGTGTGTTATTAGTGTGAGAAGAAGTAAAAATTGTTTTTCTGTTATTGTTTCTCAATCCGCTGGGTTAAATAGATCAGGGTGGCTAATATACTGATGTTATCCATATCTGGATTTCGCCCATTTCTGTGTATGTATATATATGCATTCATTTTGTAAAAGAAAACGGTTATTTGTAGAAAGCATAGATATACAGAAATAAAGACATATTATTATTATTATTATTATTATTATCTAGGTAAGGCAAACTGCTGAATTAGCCTTATTAGGGCAAAAAAGTTAATAAATTCTTTATTGGGAAAACTGCAAGGACCTGCAAAAATTACATTTTAAAGAAGAAAAGTAGCTTATTAATTTCTAATATAAAGTGAAAAAAATATGACTTATCACATGTTGTTCTAAAACATTAACCTTCCCTACTAAACAATGTCTGTAGTTATCACAATTCGAAGTCTGTGTCCAAAATCTCAGATAAGACCGGAAAAAAATGGTCATTTAAAGCAGTTTGTTCAGTGCTGTTTTCCGTAATATATACGATATTTTTGGAAAAAATTTTAAAAAATTTGTGCAAAAAAATTAATTCATGATAAATAATAGCTTACAATGTAAAAATATTGGAACAAATGTTGTTTCAGAAACGCTATATCTCGACATCAATAACTCTGTAAAAAAAAACCATATTAATTGCTGATTATTTAAATCAATAAACACGTTTTGAGAAAGCAATATTACAGATAGTGACAAAAACTAAAATTATTTGCGATCGATTTTTGACGTGATTATGATTTGCAAGTTTGATCCCATTATCAATAAACACTTTTTATACTATGGGTTAAATTTTGTCTCAGACCAACTCGACAACTTTTATATTCCGAAGTCAAATATGAACTCATTACTCGCGAAACAGGCCAAAAATAGCTTCTTCCCAAAGGTACATTCAGTCGAGTTTTCATTTGAAAATTACAGCCCTAAGTAAAAATTTGCGGAATTGTAGATTCTTAAGCGCCTACATTTAGCAAAAGAACTTAATTCTTATGTTATTGTCCTTCACTTAAATTTAAAAGCATTGGTATCACCACAACTAATTTATACCCGTTGTTACCTGTTCTTCTATAGCATAGAACCCATGATTTTATTTAATCAATGCAACTTATTAAAGAATAAGCCAGAATTTCTGATAATTCTGGAATTTCTGGAAATAGTACTAAAAAAAAATTTAAATTAAATGTTAGTTTAGAGATTGCAAATTCTTTATATTCTGTATATCTGATACTTCGATTGGCGCTGTCCCTTCGGAGAGACGTATGTCAAATATTCTGACTTATTTTTCGGAAATTCTTGCTTATTTGTCAGAAATTCTGATTTAATAAGAATTTCTCAAAAATTTGCGTTATTAAAGTATATTTTATTTTCGGTGGCCTTTCAGGGCTTTAGCAAAATTGCACCCAATGCAAAAAAATTATCAATTAGCGTGGAACTGGCGAGTTCACAATTTAGAAAATTATTGGCAAATGTCGGAATAGGCATTTGCAAGTCGGTATTAGTAGTATTTAAGAACCCAAATTATATAAAAAAATTGAAATTAGGGTTTAGCAGCACTATTTCGGAGTCAGATTAATGTAGATCACTAGCCCCACAATCTACAAGGTTATTAACATATATACTGTTAATTTTCCCAATGCCCAATACCCTATCATTAACCGCTAAGTTACATAAGTCGGCGATATTTTATTGCGTACATTCTGATTGTCCCAATTCCGCCCTTTAATATTTATACGCGAATAATTGATTAATTTGCCGATAAAACAATTAAAGAGTCAAGGTCGTGCAGAATCAATATCCCCAGCGTTGCGTGCATTTTCTTTAAAGAATTGAACGCCGTTTAAATTCAAATAAAGATTTGAGGACACGGAAAATATTTAAGGAACTCGTTTCCACGATCGAGTCCTTTAACGTTAACGTGAAAGAGCACACACTACTCGATGAGAAATTTTAGCGTCAAAACGAAGAATGTCAACGAAATTCCGTTTTTGCTTACACGTTTTGCGGTTGAGTATACCGGATGTCCCATAACTTATTCGTCGTGGAGCAACAAGTGTTACTATAAATGTAAATAAGAATTATATAAAACTAATATTAAATTAATGTTGAAATAAAATTCAATTATTGTTCAATTAATGTTATATAGAGTGTTTTTTTAAATTGGCATTTTCCTTATTATAATTTACAATAACATCATTGCAGAATAAAATCTCAAATCAGTGTAGTAGCTATAGCTATTCAGTCTAACAGCCAACATTACTAAAGTTCCTCAAATTTAACAACGGGTAACATCAAAATAATATAATAGATCAACAACTAATAACTATATATAACTGAAGTTTTTCGCTGATATCTGAAATTTTGATATTGTTTTAGTTACAATACGTTTCAGAAAAGTCGACTTTTTACTGGAAGCTCTTTGAAATGTAAAACCTTAATATGACACTCAAACACCACCATTATTATTTGTGCTATTTTCTTTTCCAAGGCACACGTAGATTTTAAAAAATTGAATGAATAATTATTATTATTGACATTTTAAATATAACTTTTGCATTTTAACAGTAAATTTATATACATTTTTTTAAAAGAACGAAAATTAAGATTTAAAAATCAAAATATTCCCAATTATGCTACATTAATTCTATTTTTAAAATCCGTCGTTTAATTAGTAATTAATTTTAACTTGTTTTGTATTTTTACTTAACCACAATCATTGTAACTTACAAATAAATCACGTTGCAGAATTTATTAAATAACAAGAAATAAGTGAATGCTAAAAATGGTAATAGACTCGTTAAAACATTATTATTAAAATATTATTAACATTTGAAAATTAATTAATCGAATGTGTTGAAAATGGATGTCGGAATTACAGTTTTCAGCTACCTGTAATATACAATAATATCTTTGGCCTCTTCACTTACAGGTTTTTTCACCCTACGACAATTACTTTTCAAAACTGTACCACCCGGTACATTTATCCCATTATTTTGCAAAATTGCAAAATCTGCATTGGCTTAAAGCTTATAGAGGAATACAAGGTGATAGAAAATATGTTTTTAGGGCGTTAAACTTAATAATTGCACAAAAATTAAACTGTAAAAAGGGGTTTATTTGACGTAAACAACTGCTTATGCCAGGCACACGCGGAGCAAGTGAATGCCCGGCGGCTGACAGGCTTCAGCGAACGTTGTGCGTAGACGGTGGCGTCCTCTCACGGATCGTTGTTGTTGTGCGCGGACGGTGGCACCCTCTTACGAATCGTTGCCGAACAGCCAGGAGGGCGAGTGTTGACTGGTGGTGCTAACACGGCCAATCCTGATACTTCGGCGTCCCGACGATCATCCAACAATCCACTCTGAGAATCTATATTTTCATTCAGAGAACCACATTTTGTAACAAACACAGCTTGGTTTAACAGGATCAACGACATCGTGCTACCGACCGCCTTAGACAACACGTAACAGGCGCATTTATTTACAAATCATAACATTTCAGCCCATAAATTGACTCAAAACTCAACATAATAAAATAGTTCGGTAATCATTAAAACACGACATTGACTCAGAGGCTGAGCCCATTAACATGACCTCGTCGTTTCTAATGCAAAACGCGGGTTCAGCGGTTAAGGCGCACCAGCATGGAACAATCGAGACTAGATCAACTCAAAATATCAACTTTAACTATAACAGTACAGTTTAAACACAGATTCAGAGGCTGAATCCTGTGGCATGGCTACGACGTTTCTGACACAAAACACGAGCTCAGAGGCCAAGGCATTTCAGCATGATCAAAACAATTCAACAAAGTTTAGTGATACAACATTACCTTCACTTTTAAGATCATCTAACTCATTCCAGGCCTCTTGGCACTCCATAGGA